AACCTAATGACTTCGCTATGGTTCCTACACTTCCAGTTCCACTAAAGAATTCTAATAAATTCATACTAGTAGAATTATTTATATTTTAATTTTCAACAGTTACATATTTACCATCATCACCCTTAATTAGTTTATAATATTCTAATGTTTGTTGCTTTGGTTGTTTGATTTTATTTCTATTCAACATTTCACAGTATTTCTTTTGCTTTGTAGGGTAGTCGCCCGATGGTCTTCCTATCCCTTTCTTCCATCTCACGATTGTCTTCGTATAATTTCATTTGCCTGTCAATTGTTTCACCTAATGCTCTTTGGTGTTCTTGCTGTGTTTCAATTAGTATATTCATTTGTTCTTGTTTCCCTTTTTGCTCTTCTAATGTTTTTTCTACTCTTTCTTGGCCTTCTTTCTGGTCCTGCATTAATCTAACTATTTTATTTTCTTTTTGTATTTGGTCATTAGCTTTGCTTTTGACCATTTATATTAATATTTACAGTTTTTTTTGAAATATTGTATCACAAACTTCATTAATTCTAGTGAATAACAACAGCATTTTTTAATTTTAGTGTCAGATATTATCACTTGTTCTATATTCTCTACTCCATCTATTATATCAATATAATCTGAATAACTTTTCAAAGATTTTATCAATCTTTTCCTTCTCTTCATTGCTATTTTTTGGTTCGTTTGCCTTTGCATCAATAGTTTCCATCATCTCATGCAACAGTTTAACATTTTTACTAACCGTCATTACCTTCTTTGATAGTTCAGCAATAGCATCATTCTCAACTTCAGACATTTCTATATATATATATATATTTAATTATATAATTTTTTATTTGGATATTTTTTTGTAAAATTGATTTAATGTAAAATCTACTCTTTATATACTAATTTACCCCCATTTCGTATTATAGTTATGTTCCCAAGTTTCTTCGCGTGAGTTTCCGTTGGTTTCTTTGGTTTTCATTGTATGAATTATTTTTTTATCAATCTTCCACATGGACGAAAATATACAAACGATTGAAGACAGACTAACAGCA